ACACACACACACATATATATACACATATACATATATATAAAGACAAAGAGAAGACACATGAGTGGTGGGAACTTAGAGATACATACAGCTCCATGAGAGATCAAGGAAGGCTTCAGAGAGTGGGTGACAGCAAGGCTGAATGTGATAGTATGAGTGGGGGTCTTCAAGAAGTTTATGGAAAATGTTTATTATGAAAAAACTATGCTTGGCTTTCACTTTTTTTTGCACCAAAATAAACCCATACTTAAATTTTATTTTTCCATGAACGTTTTAAAGTCTCCTCATAGAAAAAGAGATTCTCTAGGTAGAGAACCATGGGCTCAGAAAAGGATATTTCAGACAAAACTGTGTGAGTTGAAAGTTAGGGATAGAGGGAACTATTTATGGAAGCTCCCAGGTTTCTGTTTGGGCAAGAGAGTTAATTTTTTATTAAAGATAATAAAACCAGCAGAGCCACCTGAATAGATTACTCATCTGTCTCTAACTTCAAAAGTGCTAGCTGGAGGGAATGTTCTACTTTAAAGATCTCTTCCCTCATACAGAATATCCGTACTCTTAGTTTGGTGACTCATATTTGGGGCTTTGGTGAAACAAGAGGTTTTCAATACCCTTAATTGAAATTTTTCATTTCTTATTGAAATTTTATTTTGTGTTCGAAAATGGTTCATTGTAAGGGGACAAAAATCAAGCATTGTCTATGTAAAACTGAAATGAATAATAAAGTAGGCTGATAGAAAAAAGAGCAGTATGTTTCTGGAACTGTTATTATAAACAACTTTTTGTTTATTTTGCCTTTTTTTAAATGATGGGAAGCATGTGTGTGCACATGAGAGAAAAGAAAAGCATCCTTGACAGGGTCTCATCACACCACAACCTCCTTTTCCCAGCCCATCAGCTCTTCAGGATCCTGGGCGCCCACATGTGTACCTAGCATATATTCAAGCCAATCTGGGAATCTAAACCTCTGGTTAGCTACATGGCTTCCAACCTTGCAGGGCACCTGCATTACCACTATGCCAGAATGCTTGAACCTAATGACTTACTTTTACAGAACATTTTATATGGGCAGAATGCTTCTGAAGTATATATCATGTCTTCGATTGATATATGTACGTACTCTAGGAGTTAATGGTTATTTTCCCTATTTTACAAGGAAAGAAAAGAAGACTCAAGTCTTACTCACTCTGAATTACAGAGCTACTAAATGGCAGAAACTGTACCAAGTTTGTTTTTTTAAGGCCAAACTCTATATTATTACAACATACCCTGCCAGTTTGTCTCCATAATAATGCATATATCTGTTCTGAAGTTAAAGGAGACAGTTGATATATTAAGAAATAAACCAGAGCCATCAGATTGTTTCCAGCATGCCTGCTTTCAGAACTACTTATTATACTGATATGATTCTGTGGAAAATACCCATTTTCTTTTGTTAGATTTATTCATCATTCATTCTTATCTGACGAAGCAGATTGGTTTGAGTTACAGTTTGAGTTTATTTTGAGCTATTAGAAATTTGACAAATGATTAGCTTTTGAATGTCAGAAATTCTGAAGTGCTATTTGATAGGTAGGGGGAGGAAAAGTGTCCAGGTGGAAAATCAGTGGTTAGTCACTTATTGAACAAATGCCAGATAAGAGCCTGTTATATTCCAGACACCATGTTGGCACTTAGAGAGCAAAACAGATACAATACTTTGGCCTGTGGAGTTACCAGTCTAGTAGGGAAACTTTCATAAGTAGTATCATAAATAAATGCCTCATTGTAAATTTGTGTTAAATACATTTAGGGTAAGAAAGTTTGTGCTAACAGCTACTTAACAAAGGACTCTTATGTAATATGGGAAGGAAGTCTTCCTGAGGTCTGGGATGAGTTAGGAATTAACTAAGTGAGGGAATGTGACAGAAGGGTCAGGGGACCATGGCTGGAGCATGTGGAGCAGCAGGGAAAATGATGCTCAAGGAGACAGGACAGATAGCTGGGCAGGATCACACAAAGCTGGCTGAGACATTTTATGTCTGTTCCATGAGCAGCAAGGTACCAAGAGAAGAGTTTAAATGGTGTCACAGCCCAGTAATGGACAGTGGACTGGACTGGCAGAAACCTGTTAGGAAGAAAGCAGATACAGTGGCTTATGGAAAGATCCCAGTGGTGTGGACTAAGGTGGTGGCCCTGGTAGAAACATGTTAGAACGGAGAGATTAATAGTATAAAATGGAGCCAGTTCTGTGGCGTGATGGTTAAGGCAGCTGGATCTCACATGGTAGGCTGGGTGGTTTGACTACTGGGCCCAACGGCTTGAGAAACACACCAAGCACCTGTGCATGTGTGCCCCAAATCCCAGCAGGATTGAGAAATGAAGTAGAAGCTATTGTGACATGACTATTTTATTTGGGGGATGCTTTCTACCTCTCCCTCTCTTCTCTATCTCTCTAGCAAATGTACATGCCCTCTGGCAAAAATTTTTTACCAACCACAGTTCTAGTCCTGGACCTGGCAGCTTAAAAATCACACCGGGTGTGTGTGCGTGTGTGCCCAAAATCTCAAGAGGAGAAGGGATTGTGTTGTGGCTCTCTTCCCTGGGGGATGATTTCTCACTTTCCCTTTCACTGTCACTCTCTAGTGAGTGCATGCACCATATGGCAAAAACTTTTTAAAAAAATAAAAGAAAAGAATGGAGTGATGAATTCCATGTGGAGGTGAGGAAGAGGAAGTCAGAGTTCTGGTATATAGAAACAGGGTTCCAATCACTGTAAGATAACATGGGGAGAAAACTAGCTTTGTTGGGGGAAGGGAGAGAGATCATCAGTTTGGTTTTGGGTATTGGTGGTATATAGTACCTTTGATTCATTCAGATGAATTGTCATGTAGGCTACTGGATATATAGATCTGAATTTGATTGAGGTAATAAAAGCTAATATGTAAACTTAGGTGTCATCTGTATTTAGATGGTTATTTAAAGGTACGGTCTGAGTGAGGGAGGAAGTACGGAATAAGAAGAGGCTGAAGGCTGAACCTGAAGGAACTCTTGAGTTTTGGTGTTCAGGTAGAGGAGGATAACCCTGCAAAGGAGATGTGGTATAGCCAGAGAGGTGAGAGGAAACCTGGAAAGGCATAGATGCCCAAAGAACCAGCATGTTTCAAGAAGAACATTGTAGGAACTAGAACAGAGAGGAGGAGATTGTGCCAGTGGAAGCTAGTGAGTGCCCATACCCCCACTGGAAAAGTAAGCTATCAGAAGGGGAGAGAGGGCAGGAGCTCACATGAGATAAGAGGTTAGCTGCGGTGGGAGTTTTTCTTTTATTGCCCATTTTTCTTTTTTTTAATGATAAATGGAGCATGTTTCAGTATAGATGGTAAGAAATCTTACTGAGCAGTAGAGATTGAACTTTCTTGTGAAAGAAGGACTACTTGAGAGTGTTCAAGATAATAATGTCATAGAAAAAAATTCCCAGAGTACCTACCCATTGTTTGCCTTTGAAATTATTAGGGCGCTGGAAAAGTCATGACATACTTTTCTATGCAAAAACACGTTAGGACTTTTCCAATAACCCAAAATTATACTTCATTTCAGTGAAGACCGCAGGAAGGTTTGAGCTGAATTCTTTTTCACAATTCTTATCATTGGGCATGTGCACATGTCAGAGAGAGATAGAGATAGGGAAAGTAAGAAATCATCCACCAGGGGATGACCACAGTAATCCTTCCTCCTCCATTATTCTCTTGGGAGGCACACACATGCCTGGCCTGATTTTCAAGCTGCCAGACCCAAGATTCGAGCTATGGTCGGACATGTGGTAGTCCAGTGCCTTAACCATCACACTACCTGCTTGCCCCTTGAGCTGAATTCCTAAAAAGTCAGTATTTTGAAAGAACCTGTCTCTGTCAGTATCAACATGAAATGACATTGCCTGGTAACGTCGATGTCTATGTCATGATACATGTGTTCAGCTCATCATTGCTTTTTTTCCCAGGAGCTGATGAGGATGTAGAGAGTCCAGAGCTGCCAACATCTCGGCCACTTCCAAAAATACCATTCACTAGTGCTGCTCCAAAAGTAGAAACCACAACACTGAAGACACAGAACAAGATGCCTGCTCAAACGAAGGTGTGTTTTGTTTTGCATTGCATTATCAGGTTACTGTAAATACTCCTCTTTTTTTGTTGTTCTTATTGTACAGAATAGTCCTTTTAAGAGGCTCCATTAGAGACCAGCAGTTAGCGTAATGGCTATGTCGCTGGACGCCCATGTAGTCGACCGCAGTTCAAGTCCTAGACCCGGTGGTTTAAAAGTCACGTCGGGCACGTGTGCATGCATGCCCAACATCTTCAGAGGAGAATGGAGAAGGGAAATCACCTAGGGGGTGATTTCCTTCTTCCTTCTGTCTCTTTGTCTCTCTCTGTCTGCCTGGCAAGCACACGTGCCCTATAGCAAAAACCTCTCAAAAAAAAAAAAAAGAGGCTCCATTAAAATTGTGTAAGGACAAATGGTCTTTTTATTATATTGTTGTAAATGGTTCTTCCTTACCTTTTATGATTATCTTGGCATTTACCCACTTTGGTCACGCAGGCCTACTTTATATGTCAGTACTTTCTACCTGGTACTTCTTAAGGAACTTCTTAAACCCAGTTAAGAAGCAAGACTTTGTTTCTGAATCTTAAGCTAAGAAAAAATTCTTCATTTCCTAGAGGATGTTTTGAGTTAAAACCATCATGAACTTTACTTATTCTGAGATATGTTATGGAACAAGGAAACTCTGGGTCATGTCTTCAGATTGTACTGGTCTTGATAAGTACTTTCTCAAAGTCCCACCACCGGTACTATGTAAATTTTGACCTCTTTCAGTAATAATGAAGAACTGGGTACATCTATGTATATTCATCTTGAGAACTGACTTATTAAGAATGAGACTTTAGAGGACCAACAGTTGGACTCCCATGTAAAGTCGACTGCAGTTTGAGTCCCAGACCCAGTGGTTTGAACTCATGCCTGGTGCCTGTACATGCATGCCCAAGATCCTGAGAGGAGAATGGAGGAGAAGAGATTGTGGTGTGGCCATCCCCTCTGGGGGGATGATTTCTTGCCTTCTGTCTTTCTGTCTCTCTCTGTCTTTCTGGCAACTGCGCGCACCCTATAGCAAAAACCTTTCTAAAAAAAAAAAAGAATGAGACCTTAGAACTGAGCAAAGCTACTAGCTGATGAAAACCATAGCTCAAGATTGGCCTTACTAACAATATACTGCAGTTAACTGACCATCCACTAATAGGCAAGTTTTTTAGACTGGAAAATGCATATTAAGGTCTGGATAAGGCCTGTTTCAAATTCAAGATCCAGTCAAGTTTCTTAGCTTCTGAATCCATTCTTTCTGGGTCATTAAAAAGATTAAATCTGAATGCTGGTAGACTGGCATGTGAGACCGAGTAAGCATTCTCTGTTGGTTGACTCTGGTGGAGCAGAAGAGACCAAATCAACTCCTTAAATGAGCATGTGTGCATGTGTCATAACTGCAGCGATAGACTTGCAGACAGTATAGGGGTAGCATGCTGCTTATGGTAACTTAAAACTCAAGTGTTCCTTTTGGGGGCTCATCCATCTCTTGATTAGAATGAGATACTGGGGCAGGGCAGTGGTGCAGCCATAAAACACCACGCTCTGTGAGAAAATCTCACATGGGAAGGTTCCCAGTTCAAGTTTAAATACCTCCTTCAGTATCCAGGCTTGTATGTATATCAGAACTATGTTAGGAGTGCTGTGTGTGAGTGTGTGTGTGTGTGTGTGTGTGTGTGTGTGTGTCTCAGTCACTCACCAAAGAAAAACTTTTAAAAAATGTGTTAGTAAAAAAATGATTTGCTGCCCACCTTTAGAAGCAAATAGGATATAGAAGACCTTCGTGAAGGTAGTAACAGGCATCCTCTGGAGTAAGAAGCAGCCCTCTGCAGGCAGGAGCCCATGTGGGTGACCCTTACCTGAGTACATTTGGTCTTCTTCCTTTTCTTCATCTTCCTGGCATATGTGACTAGGATGGTATATGACACAGTTGGATGGGTTTCTGCAGATGTGGAGCAGCCAGGAGGTCAGCCTCTCCAGATTGGAGTGCTTTCTGTAGGATTAAGAAAGGTCATTTCATGTTATTGGCAGACTGGCTTCATAAGCCAGGAGATAAGAAGGCAAAGTCCTCTGGGAGGACTGAGGCAGATACGTTTAACATATGCTAGCTCTGTGCACAGAAGCTGCTCTGTCCACGTATAAGTTGAATGAATCAAAGAAGGAAGGAGGGGAGAGATTCAAAGTAGCAGGCGAATTGATGGTAGGATGACTGATCTTCTCTGAGTATGTATGGCATAATTCCCAGTGTGGCTATTAACACTTTGGCCTTTACCACCTTATCTGACGACTTTTCATGACTAAGTCTCTTTAAGTCAGTGGCCATTAGGACTCACTAGCTTGAGATAAGAAACCTTCCTGTGTAAGTCTTGGCTTTAGTGATAAAGAGTTACATCCTGGAGCCAGCAAATGGTACGGCGGTTGTGTTGCTAGACTCCACATGGCTGACTGTGGTTCATGTCCCAGATCTAGTGGCTTGAGACTTACTCAGGGCACATGTGTGTGCATGCTCAGGATCCTGGGAGGAGAATGGAGGAGAAGGGATTGTGGCATGGCCACCACAACCCCCCGGCGAGGGGTTTGTTTGTTTTACATTTCTCCTTTCACTGTCTCTGTCTCTGTCTCTCTCTCTTTCTCTCTGGCAAATACACCTGGCCTAAGACAAAACGTCTTAAAAAAAAAAAGTTATATCCTAGGGCCAGTTGGTTGCATGGTGGTTAAGGTGGCTGGATCCCATTTAGCCAACTGCACAGTTTGAGCCCTGGCCCCAGCAGCTTAAAAAACACACTAGGTGCATGTATGTGGATGGCTTGACCACCCTCATGGAGGGTGCTTTCTCACTTTTATTTCTCATTCTCTCTGACAAGTGCATATACTCTCTAGCAAATGAAATAAATAAATAAATAAAACAGAGATCATTGTTAGTATTTTATTTTCATTCCACTTCATGACATCTAAACAACCAGACATGAATGTGAGGGACCAGCAGTTGGTGTAATGATTATGTCACTGGACTCCATGTAGTCCACCATGGTTCGAGCCCCAGACCCAGTGGCTTAAACTCACCCTAGGCGTTTGTGCATGCGTGTGTGCATGCCCAAGATCCTGAGAGGAGAATGGAAGAGAAGGGATTGCAGCATGGCCATCCCCCCAGGGGGAGTGGTTTCTCACTTTCTGTTTCTCTGTCTCTCTCTGGCGAGCATACACGCCCTATAGCAAAACCTCTCAAAAAAATAAATAAATAGAAATAAATGTGACATATATTTAACTGGCTTCATTTATTTACCTATGTTGCCTTTTAATAATTTCTCATTTTGTATAAATATGTAAGATGTATGGTATTTCAGGTTAGTTCTTTATATGAAATGGTTTCTTCTTAGTCAAGCCTCTGCTTCCATATAATAAAGTTTTTGCATTTAAAAAAAAAATGAATGTTCCAATCTGTGCACCCTGCGACTTGTGCACTGCTAGGTCATTTCTCTTAAGTACAGGATGGCTCTACTTCTGTCCCCACGTCCTTGAATCCCTGGAATGCATGGTTCTTCCTGCTTGTTAGGTCAGAAGCTAAGTCAGAAGGGACTGAGCACACCAACAAGGACTCAGAAAGCCTGATGTGGAATCAGGGGATAGGCCATAATAATGGGACAAAGATGATGTGGATAAATTAAACTCAATCTCCAGTATTACAGTAGTTATTTATGCTTGTCTAATTTCCTACCAGAACTTGTTCATTTCTTTCCCAAGTCACAAACCTTAGTACCCACCTGTTTGAGTTTTCTCTTCCCTTTTTTTCACATCTAATAGCAAAGAAGTGCAGTGCTAATGAGCAGATCCCTAGATTAGCAACTAGATAATCCATTCTCTGACCTGTTGACTGTTCTTCCAGCAGGTGGCCAGTAGTAATGGCTATCCCATGAGAAAAACAGAAAACTCAGAGAAAATACTGCCAATAAGCTTCTCTTTGGCATGAGAAGGCCTAGGAAGACTTTTCCTATTTTCTATTATCATGGTAATATAGGTCAGTGACAGTGAAGTTATCAAAAAAATGATACTTGCTGTATGGCCTCTACTTTCTGTAAGTCATGACAAGTAGAGCTTTAGGCAATACAAGATTTCTTGTGGCTTGGGAATCATTACCACACTTTATTCTATGCCTTCTTTGGTGGAAGCCTAGTGTATAGATCACCCAGACAGGTATCTATTGATCTTACACATGGAGTTCAAATGAATCCATCTGGTCTAACTTGTGGTCCTTCTTAGAAATGAGAGTGACCTTAAGGCAACCCCAGGAAATGCAGTCTTTTCTTCTTGTTCTTTAACCCTCTAGACATGAGTAACAGGCTGCCATTTGGCTACCAAATCCCAGTTTTTGGAAAATAATCAATTGCTCTATTGTGTCTTCACATGTTAGATTCTACAGAGTCTTAATGAAGATGGCTGGATGTTCTTAGAGTAGTAAAGTGAAGAAAAAGGATTATCATCTACAGTTTTTATAAACCCAATGGAGTTGAGCAGTTTTTTTTTTTTTTAAATCAGTACTCATAGTATTGGTAGATAAGAATTTCAGCCTAAAAGAGAATAGACAACTCACTTGAACCATTGGTTCTCAGACCATAGAATGATCTGAAGAACTTTAAAGAAACAACAATGAAAATTAGTGCCAGCTTTTCTACCTCAGACCAATTGAAACATAATCTGTAGTTGTGGGGCCTAAAAGGGAACTATCTTCCAGTGCCCTGTGTAGCAAAGAGATGAAGGAATAAGGAGAATCAGGGGGCAATCTATTGCATTGGAGCAACTGAAGGGAGGCAGTGGCCTGGAGTCAGAAGAGTAATAAGACAGTAGGGATCTTATGAAATCTTGACTGCAACAGCCTAACCACATCATTTGAATTATTATGAACTCACTTATCATCCATGTCTGCGTGATGAGTATCATACAAAGCCATGAACTGTGTCGGTTCTTCTGAGGCCTTACCCATTGGTATAAGTATCACACAAAGTGATTATTGCAAGTAGTCCCTAAACTCATTGCTTGAAAAAAAGAGAACTTTGAAATATACTCATCTGTTATTTCTTCTTTCCAGTAAACTTTAAAAAATCAATGTAATATTTCTCTTTGTTTCATACCAGTCACCTGAAGAAATTGATAAGGAGAAAGTTCACCTCTCAGACTCAGAAAGGAAAATGGACCCTGCTGAAGAAGATACCAATGTGTACACTGAGAAACACTCGGACAATCTGTTTAAACGAACAGAAGTTCTAGCCGGTGAGGAGTTGGGTGGAGGTCATGGGAGGCCTTTGACTAAGTGATATGCAGAGGTGTAGCCAAGCTTGCTGACTGTCACCTTTCTGCTGAAAGCAGTCTTGAGGATTCTTCATTCCAGAGCAAGAGGCAAGAGATTAGGCAAACACTGTCTTTATTTCCTGCCAGCTCCTTCAGCCCCTACCTGTTGATCAGCCATTGCAGGGACTGGAGTTAGCTTAAAAGTAGAAAATTAAGATCTGAATAAGAGGCCAGATGGCACAGTGGTAAAACCTGATCACCTGTGAAGTTGACCCCCATGGGAAAGTTCTGGGTTTGTGTCAAGAGACCTCCATGAATACACCGTGCACACACATGCCCATGATCTGGGGCTGACTGAGGCTGGGGTAATATAGGTCAGTGACAGTGAAGTTATCAAAAAAATGATACTTGCTGTATGGCCTCTACTTTCTGTAAGTCATGACAAGTAGAGCTTTAGGCAATACAAGATTTCTTGTGGCTTTGGGAGCATTACCAACAATTATTCTATGCCTTCTTTGGTGGAAGCCTAGTGTATAGATCACCCAGACAGGTATCTGTTGATCTTACACATGGAGTTCAAATGAATCCATCTGGTCTAACTTGTGGTCCTTCTTAGAAATGAGAGTGACCTTAAGGCAACCCCAGGAAATGCAGTCTTTTCTTCTTGTTCTTTAACCCTCTAGACATGAGTAACAGGCTGCCATTTGGCTACCAAATCCCAGTTTTTGGAAAATAATCAATTGCTCTATTGTGTCTTCACATGTTAGATTCTACAGAGTCTTAATGAAGATGGCTGGATGTTCTTAGAGTAGTAAAGTGAAGAAAAAGGATTATCATCTACAGTTTTTATAAACCCAATGGAGTTGAGCAGTTTTTTTTTTTTAAATCAGTACTCATAGTATTGGTAGATAAGAATTTCAGCCTAAAAGAGAATAGACAACTCACTTGAACCATTGGTTCTCAGACCATAGAATGATCTGAAGAACATTAAAGAAACAATGAAAATTAGTGCCAGCTTTTCTACCTCAGACCAATTGAAACATAATCTGTAGTTGTGGGGCCTAAAAGGGAACTATCTTCCAGTGCCCTGTGTAGCAAAGAGATGAAGGAATAAGGAGAATCAGGGGGCAATCTATTGCATTGGAGCAACTGAAGGGAGGCAGTGGCCTGGAGTCAGAAGAGTAATAAGACAGTAGGGATCTTATGAAATCTTGACTGCAACAGCCTAACCACATCATTTGAATTATTATGAACTCACTTTCATCCATGTCTGCGTGATGAGTATCATACAAAGCCATGAACTGTGTCGGTTCTTCTGAGGCCTTACCCATTGGTATAAGTATCACACAAAGTGATTATTGCAAGTAGTCCCTAAACTCATTGCTTGAAAAAAAGAGAACTTTGAAATATACTCATCTGTTATTTCTTCTTTCCAGTAAACTTTAAAAAATCAATGTAATATTTCTCTTTGTTTCATACCAGTCACCTGAAGAAATTGATAAGGAGAAAGTTCACCTCTCAGACTCAGAAAGGAAAATGGACCCTGCTGAAGAAGATACCAATGTGTACACTGAGAAACACTCGGACAATCTGTTTAAACGAACAGAAGTTCTAGCCGGTGAGGAGTTGGGTGGAGGTCATGGGAGGCCTTTGACTAAGTGATATGCAGAGGTGTAGCCAAGCTTGCTGACTGTCACCTTTCTGCTGAAAGCAGTCTTGAGGATTCTTCATTCCAGAGCAAGAGGCAAGAGATTAGGCAAACACTGTCTTTATTTCCTGCCAGCTCCTTCAGCCCCTACCTGTTGATCAGCCATTGCAGGGACTGGAGTTAGCTTAAAAGTAGAAAATTAAGATCTGAATAAGAGGCCAGATGGCACAGTGGTAAAACCTGATCACCTGTGAAGTTGACCCCCATGGGAAAGTTCTGGGTTTGTGTCAAGAGACCTCCATGAATACACCGTGCACACACATGCCCATGATCTGGGGCTGACTGAGGCTGGGGGTGAACTGTGACTTAAAGGCCCTATTGGGGGTGCCTGTCTCTCTGAATCATATGGGAAATAAACTGTTCTTAAAAAGAAAGTGTATATGTTTTAAAAAATCGGAATTAGTCCAAAACAACTGGGTAAAACTAGATGGGAGATGGCAGGAGAGGGTGAAAATAAGACAGTCTTGCTCCAAGTCATCCCTGATTTCAAACTAAAGAGAAGGAAAAGTTCTTTGGGATAGGGGTGGAAGACATAAGTACTGCCCAAGACATTAAAAATGTTGTCTCTATTTGTAACGTATCTGATGAAAGCACTAACATTTGATTTTAAAGGAAAAGATTTAAGAACGCCTAATCCCTGAAGAGATAGCTTCAAATCCAAGCCTAGAAAGAAATTTGCATGCTTTTTTCATATTTACTCTTAAAAGTTTTCAGTCAATTATATCATGTTTTGTATTTTCACTGAAAAAGCAATTAGAAGATTAGGATATGAAATGTGAGTACTGAAAAGACGAAAGAATTTTAAAGTGTAGAATTAGTTGAGGTCACAGCGGATTTTTCTTATTGAGGCTTTTGGTTGATATTATTAATACTAATCAAAGACAGTATTGTACCTTCCTGAGAATGTCAGATTTACATAATTACCTGGTTGCTTCATGGAATCTAGTTTTTTTTAAAAAATTGAGTTTTCAAATTAAGCTTTTTATAAAAATGTAAATAGATTGGGCTTGACAAAGCTAATTTCTGCAACCCTTGAATCTCCTCTAAAAGTAATCCTCCTTTTGGTGTGTTTCAGCTGTCATTGCTGGCGGAGTTATCGGCTTTCTCTTTGCAATTTTCCTTATTCTGCTGTTGGTGTATCGCATGAGAAAGAAGGATGAAGGAAGCTATGACCTTGGAGAACGGAAACCATCTAGCGCTGCTTATCAGAAGGCACCTACTAAGGAGTTTTATGCATAAAGCTCCCACTTCGTGTCTCTATTTATGAGATCACTGAACTTTTCAAAATAAAGCTTTTGCATAGAATAATGAAGATCTTTGTTTTTCGTTTTTCATTAAAGAGCCAGTCTGGCACTTTAATGATAAAATCCCATTGTATTTAAAACTTTTCATGTATTTCTTTAGAACAACATCAAATTAAAATTTAACGGCTGCAGTGTTCTGTGAATAGCAGTGGCAAAATATTATGTTATGAAAACCCTCAATGTTCATGGAATTGGTTTAAACTTTTATGCGCAAATACGAAATGATTGCTTTTTATCCTTCGGTTTGAAGATGAAGGCTGTTCACTTGTCAGCATGTCTCTGACTGACCTTACCAAGTTGGTCTTACTTTGTTAATTTATCTGTTGTCCTCCTCTTCTCTGCCTTCCCTCTATCCCCTTAAAAACAAAGCCAGACCTATACCTTTTGTAGCTGTCATGGTGCAATTTGTCTTCGGATAATTCAGATAATGGTAATTTAGTGTATATGTGATTTTCAAATATGTAAACTTTAACCTCCACTTTGTATAAATTTTTAAGTGTCAGACTGTCCATTTTACACTTGCTTTATTTTTCATTACCTGTAGCTTTGGGCAGATTTGCAACAGCAAATTAATGTGTAAAATTGGATTATTACTACAAAACTCTTTAGTCATATCTATCTAATCAGATCTTCTTTTGGGAGGATTTGATGCAAGTTACTGACAAGCTCAGCAAACCCAAAGATGCTAACAGTATTTTAAGAAGTTGCTGCAGATTCCTTTGGCCACTGTATTTGTTAATTTCTTGCAATTCGAAGGTACGAGTAGGGGTTTAAAGAAAAATCAGTTTTTGTTCTTAAAAATGCATTTAAGTTGTAAACGTCTTTTTAAGCCTTTGAAGTGCCTATGATTCTATGTAACTCGTCACAGACTGGTGTTAATGAGTATATATAACAGTTTAAAAAAGTTGGTATTTTATAAGCACAGACAATTCTAATGGTAACTTTTGTAGTCTTATGAATAGACATAAATTGTAATTTGGGAACATAAAAACTACTGAATAAATCATGTGGCCTAATATTGAAAATGTCACTGTTATAAATTTTGTACATTTTCGATCAAATGTACACCTCCCTTTTGCTAACAACCATCTGCTCTCAAGGATGACGTGGGTTTGATTTTTAACTGTTTCACAGTGTCTGTAACTGAAGACCAAAGAGCCTGTCAATGAGGCTATTCATTATCAGATTTACTTCTGAATTGGCCAGAGGAAATGTATCATCCTGTGTATATCTGGGTACAGATATTGGAAGACTGCCAGGGAATTTCAAAGTTTGCAACCTTTATAGGATAGCTGATGGCAATATTGAGACAGATGCTTGCCTTTGCAAATAACTTTTAAGACTTTAAATTCCAAAGAACCAAAGGGGGCTTTCCTGAAGTCGGTATCTGAGACTTACTCCTGTAGATTGATTTTACCTTTGAAACTGTGCTCCAGATCTCTCCTGAAGCTTAAATGAAGAACTAATAGATGGAATACCGCAGCTCACAGTAAAATAAGGGAGGGATGGTAAGGGAGGCTCTGTGGGTTAAAACAAGGGCCTCGCTGCCTAGGACCGAAGTTACCACAAAGTGTGATGCTTGAAGAGATGGGGAGGTATGAGGGTACCCTGACTGGGTACTTATTGTACTGAAGTTTCCTTTTTTAATTTTACTTTTCATTTTGTTTTAAGAATTGTGAGCTTCACAAGTAGGAAGAAGACAGCGAAAACAGCAACTTTTCTAACATATAATTGAATTTTAATAAGGTATGAATACTTTATTTACAAAACTTTCCCTGGAATTTCCACAGAACTCATTTTTTTTTTTAAGTTTTTTTAAGCAACACTTGAAACAATATTTATTTAAATCCTTAAGGGCCTTAATTCCCAGATTCCTGCACCACTGCTTATAGAATTGATAGCACCTTCTAAAATCCCACAGTGCCCCTCAGTTACAGAGGTTCAAAATGTCGTGGGTACATCTCTTAACTGTGCAAAGCAGGATGAAATTCAATTCATAGAGTAACAACTGCATGGGGATATCCATGCCAGGAAAAGAAAACTTCTGGCAAATATTTTGTCACTGCTGTAAAGCAAAATATTTGTTTAAGTGCCAAAATAAAGTCTGTCGTGCCGAAAGTAAATCATTGTATAGACTGACATCCAGTTTTCTTCAATGGTCCATTTTCTGCTTAGTCTGTTTATTTTACTTTATTTATTTTAAAGATGCAGTAAATAATAATATCAAATGTGTTAAAAAGGATTACTGGGTTCAGGAAATTTTTGTAAACTTTCAATATGAAAACTAATATGAAAATTTCCTTTTCCTTCACCACATGTAAATGATTTCTCTTGTGTGAATCTGGCTTTGTGTTTGAGAAACTTGCAGTAGTCAAACCATTTTCAGCATATGGGGGAAAGGAGATGAATTCTGTTTAAGTTTACAAAGTTTTAGCTGCAGGTGCAATAGTACCTGAACTTTAGGATTAAGAAGACCTGGTTAGAAAAACTGAGTTGAGGTTGAACAAGATTATAGAATTTGCTATCCATTAACATTAAAAGTTGATAGATTCTCATGAAATGTCTTATGAATTTATATTTTGATAATGCACATTTGCAAAGTAGATGAAATGCCTTTGCCTTTGGAGGCTATTATCTGTTTAGTAGAAGGTCTAAACGAGCAGGTTAAATAAATAGAATGTAATTACCTGACTCAGGTGGCCCTGAGTAAACCGTTATGTCCTATAAAGGGTGCTGCCCCCACAAGAACAGGCACAATAATAACTTTTTAGGAGCTTATTTCTTCAATATTTTAGATATTTTGAAACCACAAGGAAAAGTTTACAATGAGGAACAAAAATATAAAATCTAAAAGTTTTGCAGCGTTAATTTTATAAGCAGGATCTTCTTTATAGCTTTATTACAATTATATAATAGAAAAAATATGTTTTTAAATTTATCTGATTAAAAAAGTAATGATTTTCAGCAACATTATCTATCCCCAACATGAGTTTCTAAGTTCTAAGCTTGTAGCAGATAACAATGAGTGCCTGAGAAGTTTCCCATTGCCTGGCTTCAGAGTTATCTGAATTGAGTGATCACTAAGGTTGTTTTCAGCGCTAATATTTTACAACAGTTGCAAAATTTGAGACTTGGCCATTTCTGAAGAATTAGATTCAGTTGGCATAGAAAACTTTTAAAAATAGAATGTCAGTCTGCCGTTTGGTGGTAAAAACAGTAACAAAGTGATTTCTGTCCTTGTCTGTCTCTAACTCTGTGTGACTTCACTCATGATTTGTGGTTCTAAGGTTTCGTTTCTTTTTGTTTATCTGCTGTATATAGTCTTCATAGCCTTTTCTGACCAAGGAATCGTGGCAGCCTTAGGAGAAATTTGATTTCCCATGAATTAGCTGGAAGGGTGTAACCCAAGTTGGTCAATCCAATCCACAAATAACAGAGTAAAGCCATTGGCTTTGATACTTCAGATATGCTGAGCATGGGCTGCTCAGCATATTCATTCCAGTTTCGTTGGCAAAATAGCATTCAAGCAACGAATGCTTGTATGTGCAAGCTTTCAGAAGTTTAGTCAACATTGGCCTACTATGATCTGTACACTCTCTAAGAAGCTGGGGCATAGTGGTGATCTATAAAGACTTTGCTCTCTTGAAACTTTCATGTACTTTTTGGAGGTGCATAGTGGAAACAAAATATATACATGAAATTAATAAGTGAAAATGATCAGTTGGTGGTAAATTCCACAATGGACATAGTACAGGCTAATGCAAGGGACTGAGATTTGTTAACAGTAGAGGCTAGGTAGGCCATGGTAGCAATCCCAAAGTCTCACCAACTTAAAACAGCAAAGATTTCTTGCTCCCACTACAGGTTCATATATGGTTCATGATCAATAGTTGTCATCCACTCTCTAGCTCAGGCTGATATAGTTGTCTTTATCTGGAACTCTGCCAGTCACCAGGGTGGGAGAAAGGGATAAAGCACACAGTAGTTTTTAAAGCTTCCACCCAATAGTGACATGGGTCACTTCCATCCACGTTTCATTGGCCAAAGCAAATCATATTGCCACACCTAAAATCCAGGATGTGAGGAAGCACAATCCTACTTCGTGACCAGAGGAGAAGGGGTACCATATTTGTGAACAACCAACATGTTTTACTATGGCCTGGTCAGGAAAGATCTCTGGAAGGTTAAGGCTTAAAGATAGGGAGCCAGTTGTACTAAAGTAGGACAAGCATTTTAGGTCCCTGATCCTCTAACAAGCTTGGCATTTTTGAGGACCATCAAGATGTCTGGTGGCTGGTGAGTAAGAGGAAGTGGTAGAAGAGGGCTAAGGTATAATTGCCACCTAACTGGTCTTCCTTTTTTCCATTTCACAGGAGGAAGCCAGATTGATCTCATGAAGATCTATACATGAGTTTAAGGCATTCCCTTTTGTAGCTCCTATTGCTCTTAGAATAAAGCCCCTGTTTCTTATGCTTCTTTCAAGGACCACAAGACCTGCCCCCTGGAAGGTACATTATGAAGCGATAGTAAGGGATGCATGGCCAGACAGGAGGTCATTTCAGTTACTTAAGGAAGAAATGGTGGTGGTTTAACCTAAGATGGTCATAATGGAGATAGAGAGGGTAGGAGGTAAAGAAATGTGGGGAGGTGGAATCAACAGATTTTACTGAAAATTTGACAGGAGTAGGAAGTAAGGAAAGAATGGAACCCAAGTCAGTGGGTGAATCATGTTCTGAGAAAGGAAATACCAAGGAGAGTTGTTTAGTAAATCAGGAGTTCCTTTGGGGCTATGTTAAGTTAGAGAGGACTGCTAGATACCCCAGTGGAGATATCAGGTAAATGATTGTAAGAATCTGGAGCTCAGAAAAGAGGTCAAGTTGGAGATACTAATTTAGGAGATGTGTCCATCATTTGGGACTCATTCATTTCCTCTCTGCTCTGTATGGATTGAGAGAGCAGAGTCAGGAGAGTGGGGTGGGCAAGGCTGACCCCCTGCTAACTGCATTCCCCAAGCTACTAGCCAACTGGCCTCTGGAAAAGTTTGGTCACTGGGAGGCACTAACAAGACTGTAATCAGAAGGGGAAACACCAGAGTACTTCTCTCTCCCTCTCTCTGCTTCGAACAACATCCCTAGCATTAATGTATCTTCTCTGGCTTTAATTCCCACTAGGCAGGCCCTTGTCTGTGGTCCCCGCTCCCACCACACTTAAACTCTTCTAACCGTGTTTTTCTCTTTTGTCTTCCTAGCCTAGGTAGGGTGCCAACTTCTTAACATTGTTGTTTCCTGGGATATCTCATACTCCCCAGTTTGTCTTTACAACTTTTCAACTAACTCTCATATTATGTCATGTTACTGGACATGGGTTCTACTTTCTTTCCTGACCCCAACTGGTGACATAGGTGTGAACACCATGTATTTGGTATTAAAAAGCCTACTTGTGATTATTTGCAGAGGTAAGTAGATACAGGAGGAAGATGGCTCTGGGCCTGCCTTCTAGTGAAGTCTGACCACCTGTTTAGATGAACCACTACCAGATTCACTCTTTTGTTTTGCTAAAGGGCATGTACACTTGCAAGGGATAGAAAGAGGGAGAGAGAGAGAAAGTGAGAAATCATCCCCATGCATCAATGCCTTCTCCTTTATTCTTTTCTTGGGATTTTGGGCACATATGCACACACTCCCAGCATGATTTTCCAGCTACAGGGACCAGGACTAGAACTTCAAAGTCAGCCATATGGGACCCACCTCCCTTAACCACCATGCAGCTAGCTGGCTTCTAGACTCACTCTTTAATACTGGTTTGCCATTTTGACAGGTGCTTAGCAGAGAACACAATCATTAATTGCAAGGGGGGAAATCTCCATAGAGAGCACTTTTTTTTTTTTAAAATCCAATGGGCATGTGCACTAGTGCACGTATGCCACACCCCTAATGGGGCCTGGCCATGTAATAACCCTTTTTCTCCCAAGTCTACATCCTGACTGGATCTAGAGCACATGTACATGTACCCATATGTTTTTGAA